TTTTCAGGTCCCATATTGACTGTTTTATTTTATTTTATTTTATTTTTGGTTTTTCGAGACAGGGTTTCTCTGTATAGCCCGGGCTGTCCTGGAACTCACTCTGTAGACCAGGCTGGCCTCGAACTCAGAAATCCGCCTGCCTCTGCCTCCCGAGTGCTGGAATTAAAGGCGTGCGCCACCACCGCCCGGCGACTGTTTTATTAATAGCTCACTTGAGGGGTTTTTTTTGTACTAACTGTTATCAGTGCTATTGTTCTTCAAAATTTCTGCAGATAAACTCCTAATAGTTCTTCTATTGCTTCTACATCCAGAACGCTGCACTCTTTTCTTTACTTCCTCTCACTAAATGTCAAATTTAATCTAGCTATGATTATTATCAGGGAGTTCTTCAGCCACAGCCATTTCCTGCCCCAGTTCATGTTCACTACTCAGAATTAAATCCAGAATATTTTCTTTCTTGCCTAATGCTCATAAAAAATACCTGTTTTATAGGAAGCAGTCAGCATTTTTCTTTGCAAACTAACCTCTGCATTTTTTCAGCCACCTGCACAACACTAACAACTTGAACTGAAAATGCAGCTGTCCTAAATGTCATTTGTATTTGCATCTTAGTCAGACATTTCTGGTGATCGAGTGGTGGTTCAGTTTTATAAACCCATGTATGCTGAGTTCCATGCTAACGAGAGAGATATAAACATGGAATCTTTCTCTCAGTTTCAAGTGCAGTCCCAATTCAAAACATTCTGCCTCGACATCATAGCCCAAGCTAGTTTTAAGATAGTGAGTTGGCTGTGCTGGCATGTGGCATGTACCTTCAGTCCCAGACAGAGGAAGCAGAATCTCTGAGTTCAAGTCCAATCTGGTCTATATGGGCTTCCAGGTCATCCAAAGCTACATAATTAGACCCTATTTCAAAAAGGACCAAAAAAAAAAAAAAAGGAAGGAAGGAAGGAAGGAAGGAAGGAAGAAAGGAAAGGAAAAAAAAGAAAAGAAAAAGAAAAAGAAAGTTGGCTGATAAAGGAGTTTCTAGACTAGGTAGAGATTAGGGACAACAAAAGCTACTTTAAGATTCCTATACAAAGAAGGCAAAATATAGTGCAAATGCTTCTGGGTGTGTTTTGTTGTCTAGAAAGAAAAAGCTCAATGAAACGGTGAAATGCCTGACTAACCAGACATGTTTAAAAATGTACTGAATAGGCACTTAGAGAATAAGGGTTGAAAGGTAAATATCGGCAAAAATATAACAACAGACAGGTTGTTTCTCTAAGTGTATGTGATGGCTTAAGTGAGAATGGCCCCCATAGGCTCATGGATTTGTTAGCAACTGTTAGAGAAGAATTAGGAGGGATGGCCTTGTTGGAGGAGTTCCATCACTTGGGGGTGAAAGCCCATTTACTTCCAGTTTTTCTCTTTCTTTCTTTCTGCTCCAGTGTTTGTGGATCAACTTGTAAGTTCTTAGCTACTATTTCAGGGCCCTACCTGGTTGCCTGATGCCAGGCTCCCCACACTGTAAGGGTCACAGACTGTTAACCTGTAGAATCATGAGTTCCAAATTAGATACTTTCTTTTATAAGTTGCTTTGGTCATGGTGTTTTGTCACAGTGATAAAAAAAAAAAGTAACTAAAATGATTTATTATTTAAGTTTGCGATTTCTGACCTTCAAAAGTAGATATACTCACACTGCCTAGACAGGACCTATGCAAAATTAGCATTTAGTGTTGGTATTCACAAGGACTTACATATAGAGCTACAATGCCCATTCTCTCAAGCTGTGAGACTGCCTTCTCCTGTATGGAGTAGCTTCCTTCCTTCCCTATTTATGGGAACTACTTAAGCCTCCAATGCTCAGGAAAGCTCCTCCCTGGACCTCTCAATCTTTCTCTTAAAAAATAGAAGATATGTGTTCTTTCTTCTTTGTTCAGTGCTTATCATGATATATTTTATTTAGTACTTAATATCCACTTAGAAGCATTATCCTCTCTGCTAAACAAATAAGGAAACTGATGTGATATCATAGTCACAGTAAAAAAAAAAAATCAACAGGTATTCAAACTTTAGTGACTATATCTTGTTTAGTTTTTTTTCTTCCTTCCTTCCTTCCTTCCTTCCTTCCTTCCTTTCTTTCTTTCTTTCCTTCTTTCTGCCTTCCTTTCGTTTTTAGTTTACACTGATGTTTTGCCTGTGTGTATGTCTGTGTGAGGATGTTGGCTCTCCTGGAACTAGAGTTACAGACAGTTATGATCAGCCATGTGTGTCCTGGGAACTGAACCCAGGTCTTCTGAAAGGACAGCCAGTGCTATTTTTATGTGCATTGATGTATATTTGAACCCCGGCTTTGCCATCTCTCCAGTTCCTTTGGTTTGTTTTTTGTTGTTATTGCTTGAAAAAAAGGTCTCACTATATAGACTAGGCTGTCCTAGAATTCAGACATCTCCTTGCCTCTGCCTCTCAAAACCTAGATAGAATTAAAGGCACATGCTAGCACACTTGGCCCAGGTACCTATCCTTTAAACTCTCCATAAAGTCAGCCAGATTCCACACATTGTCACAGTACAATGAGGTACTATCCTGTAAGTATCTCTCCTAAACCACTGACTCCTAAGAACAGTGACAGTGACTACTTCATCCCTGCATCTTCCATAACACTCAACTTTGCGTTTACACAGTGATCCGAAAGCTTTACAAAAGAAAGAGCTTGGATTCAGTTTATCACTCTGCAACACTGTTGTCTGCAATTTATTAGTCTCTTTCTACCAAGTCTACACCCATTTTACTGTAGCCCTAACATAATACTTGAAATGTAGTCCTTGTAATCAAATTGACTATAAGTGAATCTATCAACTCATTACCATTAAAATCGCAAACAATTAGTTAACTAAATCTTAGTTGTAAAATAGAGAATAATTAGTCATTGGATTAAGTGACATAATATATAAATAATCCAACTAATTTATGATCTTCATTTTTCAACATATTAACATAAATTATTTTAGTGATGATATATGCTTTACATATTCCTTACAATTGTACATAAAATGGACTAGCCAAAAAGGTTTCCACTTAAAAACTGTTCCGGTCATCTTTATTTTTAGCACCAACTCTCCAGTGCCAACTCGGCCTTTAAAATATTTAACTCTTGCAAGCTTGACTATGCAAGAGTGCCCACACTGTTAGATGCACTTGAAATGAATACATTTTTATGGTCTACTACAATATGGTAAAATTCCCTATCCTCGCCACCAACATTAGATAGTATTGGTACTATCTAATGCATTCAACAGCATCCTTATGCAGGAGGCAGACTATCTCCAAAGGGGGAAAACTTAAGAAATTTCCTGGAACCACCTTGTTGTTTTCTAGTTGCAGACATGGCTCCAGTTTACCCGGACCTCCTGATTCCTTTCCTCTAGAGTCTGGAGTCTGAATAATAAAACTCACAGGAATACCCGTTTCTTTCTCTTTTAATCTACAGCCTACAGGAGGGACTAACCTAAGTTAGGACTTGAGCTAAAGTGCATGTGAAGCCCAGTGTTAGAAAAAAAGGATTTACGAAAGTACCTAGCAAAGTCATAATAATTTATAATCAAAGACTCAGAAGAAGAATAATTAGGCAAGAAACGCTTAATGATTTTTTGATGAAAACAATAAAAAATTACAAAAGTATTATACATAAAGTAACATCAAAGTAAGCAACATCTACCAGCGACAAAACAATTGTAGATTGCATACCTAATTTACATACACCCAAGTATGTAAAACCCACACAGAAGACTAATTAAGTGTTCCACATTGTACTTTCCCTGTAGCACATGTTAATGCAGTTCCTCGGCGTTGTAGGGATAAAAATAAAATGGTTAACAAAATGATTCCTGAAGTTTAACAAGGCGGCGATGAGTTAGAAAGCACAATACCAGAACAATACTAGAACGCCAGCTGTCAACACGAGGCAGAAACAAGGTGAAGCATGCCTATGGACCATGGCATTGTTTGCAGACCTGAAATGCCCTGCAAGGCCCATGCTCCGGACTCAGGCAGCCGACCCTCCGCAGTCGCTGTAGGAGCCGCAACTCCAGTGCGCCGGGCTGCGGGAGCAGCCGCTGCCCTTCCGCGCGGGCAGTGCCTGCACGCAGGACGACCGCTCTGCGAGCCCGCGCCTCGGGCCGCTAGAGGACCTCGCGTGGGCCCGGGCCGGGCCACCCGCCGCCCACACACGCCCTCTGGGGACCGCGCGACCCCACGCCAGAGGAGCGCAGGGGCGCGGGCACCCACACCATGCCGAGCTTCGGCCCGCAGCCGCCGCGCCCCAGCGATGGGAGGGGGCCGCGGCCGAGCGGGGCCCGCAGGTGCTCGTGGCAGGGGGCGCTACGCCGACCCCTGAGCCCACGCCCCATCCCGCTTGCCGCTCTGCCGCCCGGTCCACCCAGCCCTGGGATCCTGTCAGAGCGCAGCAACCTCCACATGGCCCGCCGAGCGTGGAGCTGTGGCGCTTACCGTAGCCGCCCGCGCCGCGCCGCCCCGCCGGGAAGCGGCTAGGAGACGCGCAGAGTCTGGAAGGAAAGCGCCGCCGCTGATGCCCGAAGAGCTACAGCCCGGCCGCCGGCGGCGCGCTGCCTCCACTCTCGCGCCGCCCGCCCGGCGCTCCGCCCCCGGGACGCCCCGCCCCTCCGCGGATCCTTGCCTGGTCACTGAGTCTGCGCCGCAGGCCTCGGGCTGCGGGGAGGATCTAAGTGAAGCGAGGGCGGGGCCAACGGCGGCGTGAGCGGAAAACTGACTTTTCTCCCAACCTATAGGATTAAGAGGCTGGTCCAGTGGGCGCGGTCATTGCCTCCCTTTTGTCAAACCAGAAAGGAGGGAAGTCAGTTACTGGCAGCCAAATGAACCAATGAGCGGGAGGAACGGGCCTGAGAACGCCGAACGGCGTGCCCTCTGCTCTCCGGGATAGGCCAAGGGAGGCGGGAACAGCCCCGGATGTGGGCGGAACCCTGAGGTGTGGAGGGCCTCCGCTGCGGCGGTTTGGAGAGGCGGAACTGTGTCTTCTTAATTATCATGTGAAGGCCTAAGAATTTAATGGGGGGAAAAGTGTGGAAGAGGACTGGGATCCAAACTGGCGGATTTCCCGACCTTCGCTGCCCTCTCGGCTCTCCCGCCAGCCGCGCTACCAGGTGAGTGAGGAGCTCGGCCCTTGTTTGCCCTGTCGGTGCCTCGGCGCTGCCTTCGGGTGACCCTCACCCCTTCATACTGCAGGCGCGTTGCACGACGGCTATAGGGTGCATCTTGCAAAAACTGCAGTAAATTCCAGCATGAGTTTGGGAGAGTCCGAACATCCCCCACGAAACCACCATAGGCATTTCCAAACCAAAGACCAGGGTAGTTTAGAAGGATCCTGACGTTCCTGGACAGATGAGCCCTAAAGTCAACCAAGTTGTAAGAAGCGAAGCCACTTATTTTGAGAAGGAAATTGAGAGCTGATTAAACAGAGCTGTCTTTGGGTAAGGAGAGTTCATTTAGAAGAGTATTGAGCGTGGCGGAGAAGGGAAATGGAATGGTATGGAAGGACCTTGGGTGAATCTACTAGGCACACCTGAGTACTAGATGAGGTGTTAGAATAAGAGGCCTGTATATTTCCGTGTGGAAAAAAAGTTCTGAAGGTTTCAACAATGGATCCGGAACCATACGAGCAAAAAACCTACCTTCTGTGTACAGATATAACCACCTTAAGTGGGAAATATCTGTTGAGCAAATCTTAGCCTTGGAGTGCACCTCTGACCAACCCTTAGAAAGTGGTGGTAAAAACCAAATAAATTCTATTAAAACAATTAAGATGTCTTTGTAAAATTGGAATCTCGTATCACCATTGGAGTTCAGTGTATGCAATCCTTAAACGTCAGTTAAATGTCAGTAAGGTCATCTCCATTGTTTAGAGTATTTTTCTACAACTGAGTTTTGTTTCGACTCACAATTTTAAACTTGTAACCACAATAGGCTTAGGCCCTGGCATCCTTTCACCTCTTGTCCTAAAATGCCTGTGGTCATTGCACTGACTTGGTACTTGTTCCTGAAGAAGAGTGGGAATGAAGTTTGTATTATCCTGTAGCATAGAGAAAAGTTGTATTTAAGAGTATTAGTGGTCACAAAACTTCGTTAAAGGTTCTTGAAACTGGCCAAATTAGAGGTTGGGACTGAGCAAATATAGTTCACAGAATTAAAAAGACACAGCTAATTAAGCAGCCTGCCTCAGCTTCCAAATTTAATCTCATTCTGCTCTGTCCTTTCTGGAACGACTGGTACAGAAAATTGCCTTCCAAAACTTAACCTAGTGTGAGCAGTTCTCTTACACCCCTTTGCCTTTAGTCCTAGCAGAGTCAAGACAGGTAGCTCTTTTGAGTTCAAGACCAGGCTGGTCTATATAAGCAAAGTTCTAGGCAAGCCAGGTATATAGTAAGATTTCTGTCTCAAAAAGAAAGCCTTCCTAAAAGCCAAATTCCTGCCGTCCAGAGCATTTGCAAACTAAACAAAATGCAAATACATGAGTCTGAGAAGGAGCTAGGACATCAGCATCTAACTATTGAACTGTGGCAGGTGTGTACTTTTACCAAGATTGCCATCCTAGAGATGTGCAGACTTTATCAAATAGAGTTGACCACACTGTTCATTTGGTCCTTCTAGCCAGCTCCTGAGCTCTTCCTGTTTGTTCCTGCATCTTCTCGAGCACCCGTACCTTTTGTTTACCTCTGGAGTTTGTGATCTTTCTCTAGTGTGTACCTGTTATCTTCACTCTTTCCTTTATCATGGAGATCACTTTCCTAATTAGTTCTTTTTGGGATGGTAAGAGTTCAGCAGGTAAATGCTGCACTTGCCACCGAGGCTGATGGCCTGAGCTCAGTCCCCAAAACCTGTATGGTGGTAGGAGAGAACCAAATCTTCCTACTTGTTCCTCTCACAATCTTATGACCTAGATTTCATTTTCTTTTCCAATGGTCAAAGGAATCAAATGTTACTCAGCTGTTTCCATTTCCTTACCCTCTGTTGAGTAAGTTGCCTTACTGAACTGCATGTCGTTTGCCTTCTGATTTCCCATTGTATTTACCCTTCATCTTAATGGTCACAGGTTTCAGTAAAAAAAAAAATCTTGAATTGTAAATCCATATGTGAAGATTAGATATAATACATCTTTATACTTTAAGATAGGGTATAAGTTTATGCGTTCCCAACTGAAAGTAGAAGATCTTAAGAATTATCTTGGTAATATTAGCATTGAAAAGAAATAAGAGAAATTAAAAATATTCTGGCAATAAGTGGGTACTGGGCCTTCCAAATGTAAGGCTGCATCCTAGAGTAATAGAGTCTAGGTAACGGAGAAATGGCTTAGTGATTTAAAAAGCTTGCTGCTCTTCCAGAGGACGTGAATTCAATTCCCAATACCTACATTAGGTGATTCAGGCCTGCCTGTAACTCTAGCACCAGTGGATACCAACCAGGGATGTTCACATTCAGAAAAAATCTTAGCACTAGACATTTTTTTGGGGGGGTCCATGGTCATTTGCACATGTGGCACACACATGCAGACATGCACATAAAAAGCTTTTTAAAAGACTCTATTTTAAAATTGAAGAGAACAGTGATATAAACATTAGCCCCTGTCATCGGATCATTAAACACTAGGTGATAACAAAATCCCAAGTTTTTCAATGACCTGCTCTAACAAGGAAATATTTAAAAATACAAGAAACAAGGATTATCTAAAAGTGTAGTTATCAGTCCTGTGTGGATTATTTAGCCAAGTGAGACCTTTGCAGTCTTGCTGTTCTTATAGTTTATATCAGTCATTCTCTTTACAAACCTCATGATGCACCAGGCAGTGGTGGCACGTGCCTTTAACCCCAACACTGAAAAGGCAGAGGCAGGTGGATCTCTGAGTTTGACACCAGCCTGGTCTACAGAGTTCCAGGACAGGCAAAGCTACACAGAAATCCTGGCTCAAAACACATGTTTCATTGTATTGACCTTGGGTGCATTATTTTAGCACCTCTTGAAATTAAATGAAAAACTCTAGGCTTGCAAGTTTGCAGAGAGATTAGGACCATCCCCGAGGTGCAGATAAAGTCATGACTTGGACTTGAAAACACTGAGAAGGAGCCGACTACTCTTGAATAAAGTTCATGCTCAGTGTCTACACTAAACATCTTAGTAAGTCAGTCGTGGACTATAGAAATGGACAGCAGTGGCTGGAAAGAGTGCTTTGCAGTTAAGAACATAGACTGCTCCTCCAGAGGCCTGGAGAGCTGTTCCCAGCACCTACTGTTGGCAGGCTCACAACTGCTTAAACTGCACTCCAGTGGAATCTGCCACCTCCAGCCTCTGAGGGCACCTGCAGTGTGCATATACCCATACATATACACGATTCAGAACTGAGAGAGAGTGCGAGCGAGAGCCCAAGCGTGTGCGCATACAAAAATAGTGATTGCTAAAAGAGGTTTTGCTAGAATGTTTTCCAAATTAGAGAATCTGAGAAGCAGGAAGCAGCCAACTTTACTAGGAATCAAAGTCGTTTCTGCTATCAAATTCTGACCTTTTTTCTTTTCAGGGTGTCTCCCTTATTTCATTGCTGAAACAGCCTCTTTAAACTGTTTAAATGAGAATGTCCTTGGCTCAGAGAGTACTCCTCACCTGGCTTTTCACATTACTCTTCCTCATCATGTTGGTGTTGAAACTGGATGAGAAGGCACCATGGAATTGGTTCCTCATATTTATTCCAGTCTGGATATTTGACACTATCCTTCTCGTCATGCTGATTGTGAAAATGGCCGGTCGGTGTAAGACTGGCTTTGACCCCCGACATGGATCACACAATATTAAAAAAAAAGCCTGGTACCTCATTGCAATGTTACTTAAGTTAGCCTTCTGCCTCGCACTGTGTGCTAAACTGGAACAGTTTACTACCATGAATCTTTCCTATGTCTTCATTCCTTTATGGGCCTTACTGGGTGGCGCTCTAACAGAACTTGGATATAATGTCTTTTTTGTGAGAGACTGACCTCCAAGTATACCATCTCATCTCTGTGGCTGTTCAACAAGCTATACAGTATTCCAAATCTTTGCAAGTTTCAAGAATAACAGAACTGAGGGAAAATACCGAGGGCGGCATGAACTTGTAGCCAACCCAAAGCTAAATTATTCAGTATCTGAGTTGATATCTTTATTATCCCTGTGTAAATAAAGCTTGTTTCTGACCTCATTTTTCCACATGCCTCTTACCTTATGTATAGTCGGGACTTGATATAAATACAAAGTCTTTTAAATAGCTGTATATACATTTACTGGACTGTGGCTCTGTATAAACTAAGTAAATATGCTTTTAAATTATGAAGGGAAAAATTGGTTATGGAAATATTTTAAGGATGCCAACATATGTTCCAACCCAGAGTCTTGGTGTGGCATTTTTATATAGGATAGTTTTACTTTGAGCTGTTCCTACTGCTTAGGATGACTGAGCTGCCTATTACTGAAGTTAGGGAACCTACTTTCCCAGTCTATCAGACACAATGCACCATTTACTCTGAAAGTGTTCAGGTTTGAGAAGCTATGTAGCTACCATAACAAGATACTTAACCAGTGCCAATAAAATCCAGGTAGCAATTGTTAGCATTCTGTCTAAACTCCACCCCAGTTACCTGGCAACAGCCAGGTAGGTCTCACCCACTATAAAAGTAGATTCTTGCCACCTCTTTCCTATCTTGACCTCTTTCCTCTTGCTTCTAACTCTTGCCCTCCCGTTCCCATTCCCTCCCCCTACCCCCTCTCCCCACATGCTTATGACCTCCCCTCCCCACCTTCTGCCTTTCTCTGCCTCTACTACCCTCTTAACTCCCCTCCCCATGCTCTGAATTAAACTCTATTCTATACAGCCCTGTAACTGGCACCTCGGGGGAAGGGATGCCCCGGGATGGGCCCACTGAGACATCACCTTCCCCCATACCTCGCCACAGCCCCATAAAGCATATTCTATATCTCTATCTTTTTATAAACACATCCTGGGCCGAGGTGTCCCTTCCTCCTGAGGGACCAGCCACGTGACAATGGTATAGCATAGAATAGTTTATTCAGGGCATGGGGAGGGGAGTTAAGAGGGTAGTAGAGGCAGAGAGTAGAGAAGTAGAGGCCAGCCATGAGCATGTGGAGAGGGGGAGGGGAAGGGGCGAGGGAACAGATGGAGGGCAAGAAGGCAAGAGATCAAGAGAAGGAGGAGGAAACAGGCAACCCCTTGTCAGGCCTACCTGGCTGTTGCCAGGTAACTGGGGTGGAGTTTAGACAGAATGCTAACAGCAGTACTTCTGAAAAGTTTGGAAGTGGAGGATTTCAAAACCTGAAAATAAAATGATTTTGTTTTTACTTTTGTGTGACTGTTGTGTGTGCTTGCATGAGTTCATGTGCACTAGTGTGTATGCAGCAGTGCATAGAGACCAGAGGAGAGCACAAGGTTCTCCAGAACTGGGGTTGCACTTCTGCAACCCAACTGGGTGCTCAAATCAAACCCTGCTCTCCTCTACAGGAGCAAGTGCTCATACTGCTGAACTTACAGGTACGTTTAAGATTGTTTTAGAATTATTTTAAATTGTGTGCACATGAATTTGTGCATGCAATAGTATGTACAGGGAGAGGCAGGTGCTTGCGGTGGCCAGAGGGGTCAGATTTCCTGGAGCTTGTATAGATGCTTGACTTGGGTCCTGAAATCCTCCTCTGGAGGACTGGTATAAGGTCTTAACCACTCTGCCCTCTTTTGCCCTCAAGAGATTTTGTCCTTTGTAGCTTTGACTTTTAGCTCTGTCAGCAATCTGAAAGTGGCCATTTTGATGTTTTAAAGGCTCTAACATAGGCAGAGAGTGTGGTGATACATTCTATAACACCAGCTGGAGGAGCAGAATTTTGAGTTTGAAGTCAGCCTGGCTACAGAAACCCTGTTTTGAGTCTTAACATACAGATCATTATTCTTTCACTAGGAATACAGGATTTTTGTGTCTGGTGGATACCAGTTTGCAGGGATCTGTGTGTGTGTGTGTGTGTGTGTGTGTGTGTGTGTGTGTGTGTGTGTCAGAAGCCAATACCTGTTGTCTTCCTGAATCCTGTCCACTACAGTGTTTGAGGCAGGATCTCTCACCAATCTGTGGTTTGCCAGCTAGTAAAACTGAGTAGCCAGTAAGTCCCCTGCATCCAGGACCTGTCTCCACCACCCAAACGTCTAGTTTCTATGTGGGTACTGGGTAGCCAAACGCAGGTACTTATATTTTAACAGCAAGCATTTAATCTACTTACTGAGTCGTCTTGCAAGGCCCCCAAAAGATTATTTTAATACTTTCCTCTCTTGTAAATAAAAATAACAAAAGCAGCCACATCCCACAAAAACAGATTAAATTATATTAGGTTTTTAAAACTAAAGAGGTAACCAAATAAAATCTCGTTAACAAATACCTACCTGTCATGTAACTGCCTGTGGAGTCTTATCTCTGAGTATCTAAAAATAGGAGTCATAAAAACAGTATTTAAAAATGAAGATTCCAGGCTTGGTCAGGTAACTCCAAATTTAATTGAGAGATCCAAACTGGTCACCAGAATATATTATTAAGTAAATGCAAATAAAGTTCTTATTATATAAGCCAAAGAATCAGTTGGTTCAGATAAAATTGTTCAAGCAACTGTCTTAACTGGAAGCTCTTCGGAGTGAGAAAAAAATGTAAAAAGTCTTTTCCCAGAACAGTTTTAACAAGAAGGGAAAGAAATGGGTAAAAAATGTAAGCAAAAGGCAATACAATAACCAATCTGCTTACACATAAAAATAAACAATATTAATAGCCTCTGAATGGTTCTCAGTAGAGAATTTTTTCCTTGTGTAATACACAATAAATTATTAATGTATGTCTCAATAAACAACACACTTCAACAGTAAGTCATGAGAAACACTAAAAAGAAATAATGCTTACAAAAGTGGAAAAAATAGTGTTAAAGGAAAAGAGTGCCTTTCTGAGCTCCTTATAATTCCTTTATAATACAGAAATATTTACTAACTATAGAATAAACACTGTCTTAAGTAACATTAGAGGCTCTTACTAAGACCCTTAATTTCCTAAGTGATGACAGATGCATAACTTACGGTTAGCCCTGAGCTGGTTGGTTATAATTTCTGAGAAAGAACAGTCTGTGAGAAACATCTTCATGAAGTGTTAGCAAGTTATGTTCTGTATTTTTTTCCCCCAGGTAGCTCTATGAAACGAGAACAGCCCACTAATGAAGAGTTCTCAGGTACCCAGGATAGGTCTGCTGTAAGCATGTCTAACTTGCAGCACACACGTGCCTCAGGGTCAGATTACAGTATCAGAAGTTTGGACACCATGAAAAGTTTACTATCCTTTTAAGTTTACTAGGCTGACAACTTTGGCCTGTTTTCCACTTGCTGTTTTACAGTTCAGCAAATAGTAATTAATGTCAACTAATGAACATAAAGTACATAATCATTTTCGTCCATAAACGAGCAGGCACATCCCTAAGCACCGGAGTCATAAAGAACAGGCATTCCTCTTTAGTGAGACTGAAATGGTCAATCCCTTTAGCATTCACCAACTACCAAAGGAATGTAATGTCAATTTGAAGCTCACAGAATAAGCACAAAATTGGAGTGTCTATGAGGGCAGGACAGAGAAGAATGGCAACTCATAAAATAAGACTGAGGCAAATGAAGTCTGGCCGTGGGCTCTGAGGAACAGGAGAGTGGGACTCTGAATGCTGTTACAGAGGGTAAAAATTAAAGTAGAAAATGCTCTTTCTCAGACACTAGGTATTGAATGCACAGTTTCTCCTGAGCCCTTCACCGTTCGCTCTCATTGCGAATCTAAGGCAATGTATCTAAGGCAGCTTTCTGTTGCCACCTTCCTTTAAATGTCCGCTCACTGCCACACCTTTGCTCCCTCATGAACCTCTCCTCTTCCTTATGCCCATCCTTCACCCCAAGCTAGAGGCAAACATTAAGGAAATGGTGTGAAAGGAATCAGCATGACCCAGACCACAGGCTCGTATATCTACTGTTGTAATTGAATCCCAGAAGCAGAAGCCAAGTTTGTCTATAATGAGCCAGCAGTGTGCTAGAGCATTTGTTGTGTTTTGTTGTTTGACTTTCACCAATCAACATGATGGGTTTTACCTCTCATGTGCAGAGGGAAGGAACACAGACTAGGTGAAACAATTTCCTGGAGTTATATGCAGCTATTTCTGTTAACACATTTGTATTAAACGACAGCTGCAGTTCTACAAATGTGTTATCTAATATCCCAGTGAAGTAGCCTTACAGGATTGACTGAAAATATTCCATGTTCATGTATTTGCCCAACTCCTGAGAGTTTACTGGCCAAAAAGAAAAGTGTGCAGTTGCATGATTCAGTGTTTCTGATTTTCTGTTGTATACTATCATAAGGAAGAACCACAGACGTGTAAACAGAATGATAAAGAGTTAAAACTATTTAATTCTACTTCAGATTACATTAAGGTGCTGTTTATATGATTGCCACTTTAATCATTTACTTAAAAATCTAATCCAGCACTTTGGAGGCAGAGGCATGTGGACCCTTGAGTTCAAGGCCAGCCTGGTCTACATACCGAGTTCCAGGACAGCCAGGGCTACACAGAGAAACACCATGGTTGAGGAGAAGGGGCCGATCTAATCCCAGCACTCAGGAATTAGAGGCAGGAGGACTTCTGAATTTCAAGACAGCCTGGTCACACACTGGACACATAGCAAAGCAAGTGAGTTCAAGGATAGCCAGGACTACGTGAGACCCTGTCTCGAGGGGGCTGGGGTGGAACAGCTTTAATTTGTAATAACTTTCAATATCATCAGAAAACTAGCTGCAATGGGGAGAAATGACTGTTACATAAGTTTATCTAAAACATTAACTCCTACATAGCTACCTTAAATGCTAGCCAGGAGTACAGTACAAAACACAAACTCAATTTCTCTACAGTGCTTGCTTATCTAATTTTCTCCACATTTCTGTTGAATTATACCCAAGAATTGAGTTTTTAAATTACAAAAGCATACATCATTTGTTCTTCTGTTTCCTCAACCATTTATAGAATACAAAGCATATTATGTGAGGTGTCAGGCACGAGAAGAGAAATAAACTTAATGATATTTGTTTGTGGTTTAGCAAGAACCCACCATACATTACTAGCATATATGTCAAGAAATAAGACTGTTTTTCCTCAAACTTCTGAGGCCACAGCACGAAGGTAATGTTGTAAAGAAAGACAAGACTTGACTGTGTTGTGTTCCAGGTATTTCTCCAGCAGAGTACATGGAGGGAGGGCATGGCAAACAGTCAGCTCTCAATAGCCAGGTGTGCCTTGCCCACAGAGCCAATCAAATTTAGACTGAAAGTGAGCGGGGAAAGCACAGCATCTGTACTGAACGTAGACTTGTCCCTGAAACAAATTTTACGTGGCATTTATATTAGATATTACAAATAAGCTGGAAGTGGTTTAAGGTATGTACAGAAGTTACAGACAAATATTATATAGAATACTTACATAACACCTGAAGATCTGTGTATGCAAAACAGGTCTCAGAACCAATACCCCCAGGGATACCTTGAGACAATTACACACTTATCTATTATTTGGTGAAGCCAAGAACTGACCACATCAGATGGAAAATACTGTAATATGAAGCTGGGTAGAAAGAACTGTATCATAAAGGCTCTTCATTACGATAGTAAATGTATGGTCATTACCTTTAGAAAAAGAACCACCATGGGATGTTTCTAAACAAAATAAAAATCCTATCTAAGAGTCAGCTGGAGCAAAACAAAATGACTGGGATTGTGAAGGGAAGGCAGAGGACTGGGACCACCTAGAACACCTCAGACTGTTGGAAGCGTCCACGTGGAACACCCATCTACTCCGTCATATAACACTCATATAACACTATATGAACTAAAGACATTCCAGCAGTCATCTTACTAGGTACATGGAAAAACAACAACTGCTGTCCTGAGAGATGGAGATGCTGATAACGGAAAGAGGGAGAAAGGGGGCATCTAACGCTTGAGGGGAAGAGAGAAGAGTAAACTAGATCTGACCATATGATAAGTAAAATGTAAGTGAGAAGCCAAGCCAGCTCAAAGTCCTGCAGTCCGAGACTACTTGCGAAATGGAAATCACAGACACGAGCAAAGATCAAAAACACTGAAAAGCCACCACCGCCACCACCAAGAACAGATCAGAGAGCTGTGAGGAGGAGGAGAGAGTGAGGAGCGCTGCAGGGTTAACCGGAAACCCAGCAAGTATGTGGATGCATCTGGCAGTAAACGGCACTGTCTGACAACGCCATTCCTGTGGCAGATTCAGAGTCAGGATTAAGGAGCAACAGACGGTGAGATGAGGAAAGATGAGGGATCGTCTGCTCAGGAGTCTAAGGATTTTACCTCAGAGAATGAGGACTAAAAGCCCCACTCAAGAAAAGGGGTTTCACGTAATAATAATGTGACTCAGTTACATACAATCTCAACAAGGAAAGTCGGTGAAAAGAGGGACATGACTGTCCAAATTAATTCTGGGATCACAGCTTTTGTATTTTCACAATAATGGTAAGGAGATCACAGTGAAGGAACACACAAGTGGGCCAGAGAGATGGCTCTTTGGTTAAGAACAATGGTTGCTCTTCCAGAGGTCCTGGGTTCAATTCCTAGCACCTATATAGCAGCACATAACCTGAAGGAATAGAATGACCCTTTCACAGGAGTCACCTAAGACATCACAAAACACAGATATTTACATTTTGGTTCATAACAGCAAAATTATAGTTATGAAATAGCAACAAAAATAATTTTATAGTTGGGGTCACTGTAACATGAGAACTATGAGAGGATTATAGCATTAAGGCTGCGAACCACTGTCCTAGGGGAGCCAAAGCCCTTTTCTGGCCTCTCTGGACAGTGCACACAGAGATGCAGATACAAATGCAAGCAAAAGGCCATACATATGAAAATACAGTATTTTTAAAAGAAACTAATACATTTTGCTTATAATTTCTGTTAACACAAATTCTACATGCCCATATATTTCTCTCAGTTCATTCATATTCTTTACTTGGCTGTGAAGTCCAAGACAAGCTAGAAAGGTAGATACCTGAAATATAAGACCCCACCCTGGTCCTTGCTATTTCAGAAGACAGTAGATACAGACAGAAATAGGAAGTCTGAAACTAAAATGTAATGTTAAATCCAGGAAAATAATTACAAAACAAAGGTAAGAAGATTGTGGTTATCAACCTTAGTATTTATTGAAATGTGGAAGACAAGGAAAATAGCCTCTCAAATGCCAAACCCAAATCTGTACCTTGGCTAAATGGAAATGACTGCTTTACATATAAATAAGTTGTCCCTTCCAACACCCTCAGAAAAGCACATTTACCAAACAATGCTAAGTTATTATTTACAAAAAAAGAAAAGACAAACAAACAAAACCCTTATATAGAACTGAATTTAGAAAAAAAAATTCTTACTTTGAGTACATTAATCACATTCCTTAAACATTTAGCCTAAGAAATTCTTTCCTATCCCCTTCCTATTTTGAAAACAAGTTTCAAACAAACTTACTCAGAAATACACAAATACATACGGTACACAGTGTTATGCTAAACCACACCTGATCATTAAGGTCAATAGTTTTGTCATAAGGAAGATAATCAATATATGGCTTTAAGTAAATTTGCAACTAAATAACAAACTAAATATCAAAATGTTTAATTCTTTTGATAGCTAACCTGAGTATGGGATATATACTACTTAGACAGCTAAGAAAATATAAATAAAATTTAAAAAGAGGGGGAAAAGTATATATATATCAAATACCACTGAGGTACCTAAGTTTTTATGTAAATGTATATCACTTAATAACTTATATAACATTCACTCTATATAGCATATGACCTTATTAAAACTATACCTTGAGTGCTTTATTGTTCTGGTCCAAGATATTGGAAATAAAAATCTTATATTCACATGAAGAATGGGAGTGTACTAACTAGAAAACCATTACTGTGCAATATCAAAATAGGAATTTGTGTGTAACAAAGGTAGTTAACAAGTTCTCAGATGGCATCTGAAGAAGATTTTAAAAAATAACCCGTAAGCCTGGGGCATAAACATGATTCAAGTCTGTAAGGCTTTATCTTGGAATCTTGAGCCTGCTGGTTTACACATACTTCACCTTCACAGAGATGTACGCATTTGATAGAGCAGTTAGATGGATAACTATGTATGGATAACTATGTTAACTAAGGGTCACATAAGCAACTATACCTAAAAGCAATGGCTCTGCTATCTCAGATGTGCCTTCCTTTAAGCTAAAACTTAAGGCTCATAGATCTTGGAGATACCCTAACAGCATTTTCTTACAGTATGACCTCAGTGGGCCTGAGGTCATATATTTCCAGTCATATATGTGACTGGAAATAAAACAAACTGTGATAAATATATCACTGTCAATTTAAAAACTAAATTTTAACAATATCCCTTCCTATTTCTTAATACTCATTTGTTAAGAATTTTTGCTATCCCATCTTAAGAAAGATGGTGAAGAACCCTAAATTTAGCTTAGAATAGGTTAAATGGGTGCAGTGAAAGACAGCTAGTTACATATAAAACAAAACCCCTACATACACTGTCATGATTTTTAGTTTCTCTATTCCATGAAGCTTCCCCCACTGCAAACATCCTGAGTCCCTCCTATAAGCCAGCAGCATCCCTACTTTATTTGCCTGTCTGTGGATAGGAGATAAGACCTGCGGCTGGTGCTGACTTTCATCAGTTCTAGTGAAACGCTTTCCTAAGTGGTTTCTCCCCAGCTAGAAGCATGAGCTTTGATGGCTTACCAAAAATGAGATGAACATGGAACCCACTGAAAAGCAAACAGTGGTCTCCCAAAAGGCAGCGCAGCACAAGGAAAGCCAACTGAAAGTCATCAATCAAGGCAGGGACCCGGAACAGAAGAAACATCAAAACGCTTGCAATGATTACGGTTCCCTCCATCCACACTCACATCCATACAGAAGTGGAAACAAACTCAAGTCCCTGGGTGCAGCTGTCTACTCACCTCGCAGGCACTGGCCATCCTGCCTCCTGCACAGTGAACTCCCTAGAGCATCTGTAGAGGAGTACACCTTACATCTGCCCTGCAGGCTAGCGAAGGGTCCTGAGGAAGATGATCTGACAGTGTTTGCTAGCTACATCGGTGTATGGCAACTGAGTCACTGTCACTGCCCTTGGTTTAAAAGTTCATTTTTGTAATGTGGAAAAATATAAAAGAAGACTTTTAATTACTCATAAACTTTCTGTATGTCAATTTTTTAGTCAGCTATTACTAAACATACAGGTGCTTATTAGAAAATTTTCTAAACTGATTACTTGCACAAAATAAAATTACACTAGAGCTAAAGACTCTAGCCACATTACTTTCATTAATTAGAAGGATAACAGCCATCAACATACTTAGTTTCTCCCAACTTCTAAAACTCTATTAATTAAATTATTTTCTTACTGTTGAAGATAAATATTTTAGAATACAATCCAGGAAACAGCACTAGGAATTTTTATATATTCGTCAATTTAAGAAATTGTGCAAAGCAATATACATATATACATTCCCAAGCAGACATGTATATACGTATGTGTATACACACACACACACACACACACACACACACACACACACTCCATATGTATATATGCTTTCATAACTGAATTGTGGCTTTTTGAATGCATGCACAGTATGAAAAATTTAAATATTTACTAGATTTGGACACACATTTTCCTCCATCACTTCCCCTCATGTATATATTAACAGAAACATAATATATCAAACAATTAAACTGAATTGTATGTTTTTGCAAACTCAACAAAAAGCGTTTATTATTCTGAACCTTTATTAAGTGGCTCACATTTCAATATAAATCACACTAAAAAGGCTTTGTCAAGCTATTTACACTACAGTGCTGACACATTTAAAATAAAAAAAGTTGGTATAATAAAGCTCTATGGAAAAACCTTAAGTTGTCAAAAAAAGAATTCTGGCTCATGTTACAAAAAATATATGATTTTGTCAGCTCTATTCTAAAACCTAAAACTCCAACTCAAATGACGTTTCTAAAGACTCCTGTGTATTTAAACCTGCAATGTTTCCAGTGCATCTGGCCCTAAGTGCTTGATCCTTCACAGTTATGGACAGGCACTGAGGAATGTTACAAAGCTACATGAACTCTATTCTGTAACAGACGTGAGAGCAATTCCTAGGCTTGCTTTCAGATTTCATGAATCATTACAAATTATTTTTAAAAGAAAAGTTATATGCAATGTACAAATTTAGCACAAATTGTCGCCATCCCTTTTGTCTTGATTTGAATGTATAGAACTGTGTTGCTGTGTATCAACTGTTTTACTGACACTTCCAGGACACAAGTCTTCCTTTAAGTCTTTGTTGGTATTCTCTAATTTAGAATCCATGTCAATCTGAAAATCTGAAAACTGAACATGATCCAACTTTGTCTTACTGTTCTTGCCTTCTGTGTTATTTGGTGTTCTAATCTTTTCAGGTATCATAGCCGTCACAGGTTCTTCCTTGATTCTTAGAGATGCAACAGGTTCATGTTTCATTTGTTGTGATTCATACTTAGAATGAAGTTTGTCTGACAACACAGAGTCTGAGGAGATTTGGTTCTCAGTGTGAGTACCAAGGACTGATGATGTAGGGCCTGATGTTCTACCTTTTTCAGGAGTAATTGTACTGTGACAAGTGTCTTCCTCTGCATGATATAATTTAAGTCGAACGTGCCATGCCAAACTGCATACAGCTGAAACTGTCTTGAACTGATGGACAACATTTCTTGGAATAAAATAAATGTCATTGTCATACAGCTGAATCCTGGCATAGCGAATGCCTTCTCTCCTCAGCTGATTAAGTTTTGCATCGTCAACCCACTGTACACACTAAAAAAAGAAACAAGAACACAGGTAAGTCTTTGTACAACAAAATCTAAATGAAAAATGTTATTTTTTTTAAGTTTTACCTGGGACAGTGGAGGTTCATGTAAGTCTAATTGCATTCGTTGAACTACTTCTAAGAAATCTTCTGCATGAAAACAAATTACATCTTTGGTTACTCGGGGTTGATCAGGCCTGTAGAGGAGATGATAACAATGAAATCTTCCAGTAATGTTTTATTCTGTTAGGTCCTTAATAAATCCAAGGAAAACTAAAATCTTTTTACAAATAAAGGAAATCACTTTATACATTTAAATAAAGAGTTTACACCATGAGTTTCAATAAAAACAGATTAACAACTTTCTTTATTCTTTAATATTGCTGTCACAAGATCTTGAAAAATTCGAATATATAATAGATTTAGAATTAGAATTATAATGCTTTGTATAAGTTATACAAACCATAAAAACTAAGTATCTCGTTTTAAAATACAGCTCAATTTTCCTTTGAATTAAGTATTAAAATTGCAAATGCCACATAAAAGAAGTTGAAGCAAGCATAGAAAGACATGGACCACATGTTCTCAGTTCTATGTGTACACTGAAAGAGCTGATCTTGGCAAAACACAAAATGATGGTAATCAGAGACGTGGAGGAGGGAGACACGGGGAGTATTCGGCTAAGAAGAGTAGCTGGCAGTGGTCAGCTGCCAGTGACTTGTGTGTATGTTATCAGGGCTGACCATTAGCACTTGACAACCAGTTAGTGTGCCTTTCCCTGGGGAGCACAAGTCTCTTACTCCCGCTGGCCTCAGTTGCCTGTGATTCCTTGTGTAGGGTTGAGACCCTGTGGCTTCCCCAGTGGAGTTTGGCATGTTTTTGGTGTCCTCTTTGGTGGCCATACACACAAGCAACAAGTACGGAGGATGACTATGGTTAACATCTATTGTGTATTGCAAAATAGGACAGAGGTCTTGATTCCCACCACACAAAACGGTGCATGTCATGGTAGATGTTAGAAGTGATACATAACTGTTCTTGAAATATTACATTGTGACTCATATGTACATTTAATATATCATTAATTTTTATAATTAAAGTATGGGCAGACAGGTGGTTTATGCCTATAACCTGAACTAGAGTGACAAGACGGAGGGGGGCAATACTTTCTTGTCCCACAGAAGATATTAACTGTCTACCTGAACACACCCAATCTTACAGAATCTTGGGCACTAAGTCCGGTCGGGTCTAGTAGTATTAGACGGTATGCATACAGCCCCTCAGTGGCTCCTGCTATATTTGATTTCACTGCTGTAGTTACTAGTACACTTAATATTAACGAGACTTAGTAACGATAAACTAAGAAATGTTCATTAAAATATTCATACTCTTCACTGGAGACATTAACTTTTAAATAAATTGTAAAAAATTTCCCAAATTGTTCAATCAGAAATATTCACATTTTCATAGATGCTCAAAATAAAGTTTTGAAGTAAAATTCCAAGCAATGTAATATGTAAGGAAATTCATATCATATCATATCTCTCCTAATTATGGCAAAAGCTCCATCCAAGTCTCACCAATATAGCCACCAAAGAGGACACCAAAAACATGTCAACTCCACTGGGGAAACCACAGGGTCTCAGCCCTACACAAGGAATCACAGGCAACTGAGGCCAGCGGGAGTAAGAGACTTGTGCTCCCCAGGGAAAGACACACTAACTGGTTGTCAAGTGCCTGATAACATACACACACAAGTAACATTTAGATGGACTCAACAGGTCATACTGGAGAATGTCTGTACATACAAATACACATATGCATGCAGTAATAACTGACAAGAAAGAGAAGTGAGGGACAGATGGAAGGGTCTGCAGGGAACAAGGGAAGAGAGAGATGTTGTCATTAAAATACAATCTCAAAACCAAAACTGACATCACAACAGAGTCATATTCCTGAAGTTCAGTGACAGAGGATCATGGAGGACATTACATACAGAGAATGACAGTAACCACTCAAAGGAATGCAGAGTCTTCAAAGACAACACAAACCAGAAGAAAATTAAAGTACTGAAAGAAAACCAGATTAGAAGTTGCTTACTAGCCTGGCGGTGGTGGCGCACGCCTTTAATCCCAGCACTTGGGAGACAGAGGCAGGGGGATTTCTGAGTTCGAGAGTTCGAGGCCAGCCTGGTCTACAGAGTGAGTTCCAGGACAGCCAGGACTACACAGAGAAACCCTGTCTCGAAAAACCAAAAAACAAAAAAAAAAAAGTTGCTTACTAATCCTGCCACCACGATGCTCTCTCCAAGTGCACAGGAGCACACGCCCATGGACTAACCCTCTAAAGCTACGTGGAAGGCAAAGAAAACCATCCTTCTTTATGTCGATCTCAGACATTTTTATCACAGCACAAGAGAAGGGACTGACAGACTAACCTGGAAAGACAGAAAGTATTAGATTGATGGGTGTTTGAGGTGAAGAAAAGGACTGAAGTGATTAGCTGCCAAGACTACTGAGAGAAGTCAAACTTCTACATCTTTACTGTGGTACTAGTAAATAAGTTACTCAAAACAAGCAACAGACTTAAAATTGGTGTATGTTTCATTGAATGCAAATTATACCAACTGAATTATGGGCGGGGGAGATGGCAAAATAGGTAAAGCACTTGACCAGCAGTTCTGAAGGCCTGAGCTCATCCCCAGGACCCATGTAAAGCTAAGCAGTGCAATCCCAGAGTTCACATGGCAAGCTGGGAGATGAAAACAAGACAACTCCACACAGCTGGCAGGCAGCTGGCCTGGCATGCTCAACAGCTGAACAGCAAGCAGTCCTGTCTCACAGGTAAGGTAAGGGCAAAGTGCAACAATGGAGACCATCCTCTGACCTGCATGTGCACATGTCCACACTTAAACACATCACACACACTTTTTACAAAGGAAAAACCAAGTTTTTATGAGCCAAATCAAATCTATGTAAGTCCTGTCTTAATGCTTATATAGTTATGATTACTGATTCACAAACCCTGCCATATCTACAGAAGAGTTCTTTATAGTCTAAATCAGTGCTAAACTACACACAGCAGAATACTGTCATCTCAGCAATCAAGAAACCTGAGAAAAGAGGTTGGCACAGGCAGAAAAGTTTACCAAGGCAACATGATGAGATGCTATCTCAAAAAAAAAGTTTAAGGGCAAAGCATACAGGCACATGCCTTTAATCCCACCATTTGGAAGGCAAAGGCAGGCAGATCTCTGGTACTTCAAGGCCAGCTTAGTCTACATAGTGAATTCCAGGAATTCTAGGACAAGCAGAGCTATGTAGAAAGAACCTATATCAAAAAAAAAAAAAAAAAAAACAACCTTAAACTAAACTAAATTGGGGGGTCAGAGAAACAGTTGAGTAGTCAGGAGTACTTACTGCTCTTCCAGAGGATCTGGATTTGGTTCCCAGCACATATGTAAGTCATTTCACAACTGCCTGTGATGCCAGTTCCTGAGGATCCAACACCCTCTTCTGACCTCATAAATGTAACAAACTCTTAAACTGATACTAAACATAGCTCTAAGAATACTTTAATACAGCAAGGCATGGTGGTGCATGTCTTTAATCTCAGCATGTGGGAGGCAGAGGCAGGCTAATCTCTGTGAGTTTGAGGGCAGCCTGGTCTACAGAGCAAGTCCAGGACAGAAAGGACTATGCAAAGAAATGCAGCCTCAAAAAAATAAAATAGAGAGGCTGGAGAGACAGCTCAGCAATTAAAAGCACTGGCTGTTCTTCCAGAGGTCCTGAGTTCAATTCCCAGCAACCACATGGTGGCTCACAACTATCTATAATGAGATCTGATGCCCTCTTCTGGTGTGTCTGAAGACAGCTACAGTGTGCTCATACATAAAATAAATAAATTTTAAAAAAGAAAGAAGGTATGGAAGGAAAAAGAAACAAATGATCCTTTGATTCTTAATATAAAGAAAGCACAGCAAAACACAAAACAGATGAGAAAGAAAGAGACGACAGCTTCCCTAGTGTCAGTACAGTGATGACACGGCCTTGCAGGCTCTTACTTGGAGCATCACTGGTAGCAACTAGTTACCACAGGAAGCAACTAGCACGGCCCTTACAGTACTAACAAAACCACTTGTCACCCATCTTTAATATTAACATACTAAAAAGCAGCAGTGGGGCTTAAGTGGCCAACTTGCTCCACACACTCACACTTGCTAACTGCTGAGAGGCAGTCCCCAGTCAGACAGCTCTAGATTCTATGTGGTATTAATTTTTAAGGCAGTACTACAATTTTTCTTTAATGAAGAGGCTTGCTGCATTAGGCATCCTTAAAAAGCATATTTCCCTTTATGGAAATTTTAAGTTATACTTTTTACAAAACCTTAAAAGCTACAATTATTTTTAAATTTTAAGAATTAAACTGGTTCCTGAAAGTTTCGGAGTTGGTGCAACAGGTAAGAGCACTTGCTGCTGAGAACCTGAGTTTGGATCCCAGCACCCATGTAATAAGCCAGGCATAAACCCCCAGCACCTATAACCCTAATGGGCAGTCAGAGACATGGAGAAGCAGAGACAAGAGGAATAAGTCTTAGACTTAGCACTTACTAACTAAACTGACAGCCCTGTATAAAGTGTTCCCATGTAGAATACAAGGAAAAACCAAAGTAACTGAGATAACCTTTGAAAACAAGTACATAGTAAACAGCAAGTAAATTCAGTTTTCCTTTCACAATGCTACCACGGCCCAGCTTGACTGATTTGAAATGGCATATAACTTTAATTCCAGCACTTAGGAGGCAGAGGCAAATGAATCTCTGTGAGCTTGAGGCAAACCTGATCTACATAGTAAGTTCAACGCCAGTCATACATAGTAAAGCCAGTAATATCCTGTCTCAAAAATAATGAAATTTAATTTAAAAAAAAGAAGACTATTGATAAAATAAAGTAACAGTAGTTAATGTGCACAAGACCCTGGTTTCACACCCTAGTTTTACAACCCTCACCAACCAAAAAAGCAAAAGTGGGGACTGGATCAATAGCTCAGTAGTTAAGAGCACTGGCTATTCTTCCAGAGGATCCAGGTCCACACCCAGCACCCATGTGCTCACAATTGTCTGCCATTCCAGTTTCAGAGCACCAGATGCCTCCTTCTGGCTTCCAGGCACTCCACACATGTGGTATTCAGGTAAATACCCATGCACAGAAGATACTACATCTCAACCCAGTCAGTCGTCATATGTACCGCTGTCCACAGTGCACAGCCTTCAGCACGCCAACAGCTGCAGTGGTCTGTCGCTCAAAGCCTTGCCCTATGTGATCCGCATGGGCTCTCGTCCTGTCTTCAAACAGCATCTCCCGAGGCTCACTGGTTCGAGGTAGATACTGAAGGTTTTTTATTTCATTGGTAGTTCTGTTTTTAGAAAGAGATTTGTATTTACATACTGTGGCTTGTTTTCTTACCAGATATTTCATAATCACGTAATTTCAGACAAGATAACTCTCAGTGTCTTGACCTTCCTTTCCTGTCTTTAAGCTTTAAACTCATTCTCTCCAGTGCCAGGAGCACAAATCCAACTGAAGCAAAGAGCCACCTGAAAGGACCCTCGTTCTTCTCAGTGCAGAGCACAGTGCATTTTCTGCTCTTTTTTTATTTGACATCCTCTCATACAAGTTCTGAACAGTTGTTAAATTTATTCCAAAATTTCTCTGTATGAGTGACATCCTTCAACTCCTAGTTGTAATTTATTTCATTTGCTTATTTCCCATGTCTATGTTATAAAACTGTGCTGCTTTATAACCAAGTATACTAACATGTGGCCTGTGTCTGGAGTTTTCTTCAACATAATTATGCTCTAAACTTTTTGTTCTACAATAGACACACACATACACACAAACCAAGTCCATCCTCACTGATAAAGATGTGTACCACAAACCTTTTCCTTTTGAAGGGTGACTTTGGCACATCAGCCACAGGGATCATTTGCTCTCCTGGACGCACCCACAGGATGGGACCATCATCACTATCTTTCCGACTCTCTAATTTTAGACTAGATAGTGTTCCCCATGGCAATGTACACTAGAAATAAATAATTACACAAATTTTTAAAATATATCTTTAAATACATATTAAAAATACTGCATGGTAGGATATATGGGGTAGGAAAGAGAAGGGGAAAATAATGTAATTATATTATAATCTCAAAAGGAAAAATTAAAAGTTGACCTGAAAGCCAATAGATGAAAGAGATTAATGATTTTTTAACAATTCACTAATTTTCCCTGTAAGAATCCTTACAATGTACTAACAATTAAAAGCTAAAATGAGACTGGAGGAAGAAAAACTTGCCCCTCCACATACACAAATTAATCCACAAGCGTCTGAAATACATCCTATATTAACATGTCCCTATTTGTCATGTGTTTAGCTTCAATCCCGCTCATAAGAACAACTGTGCTCTTACTCTGGTGGGCTGCCCTCCTAGAGGGATGATGCCATATACTCATCATGTTCCTCTTCTTTCTAACAAACACAGGGCGATCTAACTCTAGTAAGTTGCCAAGTAAGCAACTGGTCTCCCCAACAACCCTGAAAACAAATGTGAGTGTAAAACCACAAGTGTTTCCTTAATTAGTCATAATCAAATACATCAAATATATATATGTTCCTATTTGTTTAGTAGTTTCTTTTTTGTTTTTGGTTTCTCCGTAGACCTGACTGTCCTGGAACTAGCTCTGTAAACTAGAATGGCCTCCAACTCAAAGATCCCCCTGCCTCTGCCTCCTGAGTGCTGGGATTAAAGGTGTGGACCACCACCACCTGGAAGTAGTTTCTTGAAAAGGCTGGTGGGCTTAAAGCAGAAACTAAGTTAAAATTAGAAAGTGAGAGAGAATGGAAGGGAGATCACAAGATCACTCTGATGGAATGATGATGTTTTAATCACCTCATAGTCCCTTTTGAAAAAACTAATTTCTCTAGAAAGAATGCTTAAAATAAGATTTGAAGCAACCATCCTATAAAGTATCACTTAATAGTGATTATAATCAAAGTACTTGCATGATATGACTAGCTGGAAGAAAAAGAAACAAAGTTTAAAAGCTATAAAGGAGAAAAAAACAGAATACAGTGTAAGTAAAAAGATCTATAGACATGTAAGACAGAAGATCACTCATGCAGAAGTGAAAACAGAAGAGGGCTCTGTGGTAAGTTTTAGGCTAGTCTTACACTCTGCTGTGGACTAGGGCCTACATCTCAGGGGAGGTCACACTGACTTGGAATTATTATTAAAAGGTTACCTACCCAGTTCAGAGATTTCTCTCTCAATGGGATGCCCCAGGTAAGCCATAATAAGAATGCAGCAGCTCAGAGGGCAGGAGCTGGGTACACAGAACTAGAGATCTGAGTTCAATGCCCACAATTCATGCAAAAAGGAAAGGAGAGACAAGCCTCCACATGAAGAAGGAAGAAGAACAGTAAGTTATTCTTACTTTTAGAAACGGTGACGCCTCTAACATGTCAAGGAACTCAGGGAAGTAATCTCCCACTTCTTCATCGACGGCTCCCACCAAGCTTATCTGTCGCATCGGGCCAGCTCTGTAAGTACCATGAGAATATGTTCTTTTTACCTGAGTGACATGAATTTAAGGAAAAGTTAGACACAACATGTTTGCTACAGATGTATGACAATGAATTACATCATTTCAAACTACTAGAACATAATACAAGGCAAGAAAAAAGAAGCCTGTAATAATGTTCATATATAAATACAGTTATAAATACTAATATATATTATTTGTGATATATTGTTTATAATATATTTATAAATATATATGTAGACAGATAGATAACTAATCAAGCCAGCTAATTTCTATTTCTATCTCTGTAAACTACCCATTAAAAGAGTCAACGAGTCGGGATGGTGGCACACACCTTAATCTCTGTTACACAGAGAAACCCTGTCTTCAAAAACAAAAAAAGAGAAAAGTTTAAAGAAACACCACTGTATAAATACCTCACGGCACCATTTCCTAACAGCAGAAGAGTTGTTGTTTAATAAATATTGCTACTAAAATATTCAAAATGATACACCTTCATTTTTCTAAAGTGACATGACAGTGCCTATCTTTTATTACAATTGTCCCCCATTATGAGTGGTTATATGTCGGAAGACCACTAAAGATAATTTTTCACTCTGCATCAAGATTTTAACTAGGGGCCAGTTCACATTTCTACCACGAACTCTGATGAAATGACTGAAATTCAGAGTGAGAAATCCTAAGGCACAAATTCACCTCTACTATCAACCAGTTAATCTCAGAGATCAAAGAAACTCCTCCTCTCACCTCATAACCCCAGACTGCACAAGAAATCATAATGCTCACTTACATAAAGCACGTGTTAAAATGCTAGCCACTGTGTGATGCTCAAATGTTCAAAACAAAGCAGCCCTAACCCCGAGGTTTACTGATACCTGGATTTTCAATGGTATATTAAATTTAGTCCTCAGAGAACTATGGTATTTTTTAATATACAAACACTAAAAAGGGGTGTTATTTTAAGCTTCCTTTCTTAAAAAAAAAAACTTTGAACAAAATCTCAGTGATCTTTTATATTTATTTATTTTTATTTTTGGAAGTCAGACTTTGTGGCCACCACATGTAGAAGATGAACTGATCAGTTTCCATAGGACTAGCATCGTTTAAATTAAGTCTACAATGCAGGCAATCCTAGATGGGCAAGCTTTTGTGACGTTATAAACCCTATACAACTGCAGTAGCCTAGTACCTTACTTCCAACCCACATAGTTTAAGAGACACAATAAAAAATATTCTATTATATTAGAATAACTGACAGCAGAATTTTGTTTTTATAAAAATCAACAAGTACTAATTCTTTTTTTATTATATTCAACATTAAGTTTATTTACAAATATTCCAAGTTTAACTTTCCATTATCCATTAAAAATTCACTCCTCAAACGAACAAACCAGGCCCCAAGTCACAAAATATATAGATTACACTCCGTTTTATAGTCAAGGTCTCATCTTGTTCTGTCTCCTGAAAGGTCCTACCATTTCTACATCAGCAATTCTCAACCTGTGGGTCATGACCCCCTTCAGGGCCACATATGATATATCCTACATATTACATTACAATTCATAATAGTAGCAAAATAACAGTTACGAGACAGCAACAAAATAATTGTATTGTTAGGGGTCACCATAACATGAGGTCTCACCATTAGGAAGGTTGAGAACCACTGTCCTGTATGAACAAAGCGAAGTTTAAAATTGACTCTCCACCACTCTCAGGCCCTAGGAATTAAATGCACTAACAGCATCACAATAGGAAACTCAGTCATGAATGCAGTTCAGTAAAGCAGTCTTTAACTCTAGCAAACACCAGAATACAACACACACCTCTGTTAAATGATTCTGCACTCCTGTCCTCGGTTTGAGATCTGCATGTGACAGCATTAGTCCTGAGAAAGCGTTTAAGGCTACTAAATAGTGAAATTCAGGCCAGGGTACAGATCTGTGGAAGGGCCCTAGCCTCGACAGTATAACATACTGGGATTGATTCTCTCACAGGCAGAGAGGAGTAGACAAGGAAGCCAAGACAAGAAGTAAAGTCAACTTACATTGTAAAACACAAGTTTTGCAAGGGTTTCAACATTTAGCAAAGGACAATTTAGGGAGGTAATATTTCTATGTCATACAGGCAAAAAAATTTCCTGTGCATACAATTTAAACCAGATACTTAAATATCACCTAAGTCACTAATCAGTTCTAAACACCAATGAATCCTTGGAACGCATGTACAAACAAAAAGACAAAAGTACCAAGACATTATTTAAATTATGAAAAATGAGATGTGGTCTAGTTTACTACATCAAAGAATTAACAACGACCTATTAAGTAACGTATACGGTTTATCATGAGAGGAGGAAAAATGGCCTTTGAAAAACTTGTTTTCAGTGAGTGAATACTTCTAAAGCATCAAGTGCAACTTAAGCTCTCCCAAAAGACCTGAGTATGATTAATACACTTTAATAGCAAAATCAAATGGACTTTTTGTCTTATATGCAGGAATTAAATACCTTCATACAAAAGACACCAGTAAAGAACACTGTCTAAAGTGAATTTGGATAATTTAGGAGATAGGGAAAATGTAAGTCTGAAATTATGAGTCGATTTAGCTAATATGTAAATGAAGATACATTACATTTGAAATCATTTGTTTCTCTAATAAGTAAACAGTTGCGTTCTACACCACTATCATGTAATGCTCCTATGTTCAGGCAACTGTTTCCACTCCACAAAAAAGAGGGAAAAGGCTGGATATGGTGGTGTGCGCCTTTAACCCCTGCACTTAGGAGACAGAAGCAGGCAGATCTCTATGCTTCTGAGTCCAGCCTGGTCTATGCAGCAGTTTAAAGGACAGCCAAGGCTACATAATAAGATCTTTCGAAAAAACAACGGTGGCAGAGGTTGAGCCAGGTACAGACCTGTAGCCACACTGGGAAGGTGAAACAGGGTGACGAATGAGGCCAGCTTAGGAAGGGACAGAGAGCTGAGAAAGCATTACTAACCTTTAAAAGAAAATGGCTAATACTCCGAAAACAGGAGTATTAAAAACCTGAGTACTCAGCCCTTGTAAAGTAGTATCTATGTGTTTAAATATAAATGAATTAATGTATCACTAACAGGAAGAAATGGGTAAAACTTGTTATGAGTAATAGTGCAAAAGAAGTTGTATCATTATTCAACTATCAGCTGACTTGATGACAGTTGGCTGCTTCTGATGACAGTGACCATTTCACTGATTAAAATACTTTATTACTCCAACCAAAAATGAAGAAGTGCAACATTCAACCCACTATGACAAATCCATACAAAATTAGGATTAGGTAAAACAAGTCACTGAAATTTTGACCATGATAAAGTATTAACAATCATGTATTCAAGATGAAAAAGTATTTACCACTTAATAAAAATACACTGACAGCAAATAAGTAACAAAACACATGTGCTTTTCATAAAACTTGGTATGGCTCTTGATTTTAGCGATCCCCATTTTACTATAACAGTAAAATTTACTCACTATAGTAAGGTTAAATGATACCACATGAAAATAAAACCACAATTCTCTCAAACCCACCTATGACAGTTCCTAGTATGACTGACCCAGGAAAGGAAAAGATAAGGATCAGAAGACTCTGTAAATATCTTTAAAGAAATATCATGAGACTGTGCCTCATAAAACTTCCCCGTTGTAGATATGTACTCCTATTTTAGGCACAATTTTAACAGTCTTTCAGATTACATCAGGATAAACGGCACCAGTGTGGAACAGAGGAAGAACAGTACTGGGCAGGCACAGCTGCAGCAGCTCTAGGGCACTGTATTACATCACTAAGACCACACCCAACAGAAACGAGAGTCAAGGTACAGCGCACATGTTCTGTGAAAACTGCATCTTTACTAAAACCTTGGCAACAAAAACAATATATTCATTAATTAGAAAAAAAGTCCTTTCTGTGGAACCCTCAAATCCTGAGGACAGATGTACACAGCATAATTACTTCTATCTACTTCATTAAACCACCAACCCATTACTTTTCTGACACATTTTTAAAAATTAACCTAAAAGAAAAAAAACACCCCAAAGATATAACTATTTGCTTCTAAATGGTAAACATAATGAACTGTAAGATCTCTCTCTCTAGTTCTCTCTAGTTCTATTTGGGCAGGGGCAGACAGACAGACCACGTGGTGCCGTTTAGACAGACAGACCACGTGGTGCCGTTTAGACGACATGTAACGTGACCAGATTAAACAATGTTGAACATCTTAACTCAGTCAAAAGACAAAGGAGCCGCAGCAGAAAACTCATTTGGTAGAGGGTCCAGGATGCAACTATGCAAACCTCCCAGCTCAGCCCCCACCCCACACTGCACGAACCCAAGTGTACTGTGCCCTGCAGTCTCTCTCTAAAATGCTAGATTATCATGCCTGCCCTTTTACTTCTTTCCTTTTAGATTCTCTGTTTTTAAAACAGACTAACAAAATGTCCGAAATACTGGGTAAATAAAAGGAATTACTTACACTTGAACTACAAAGCTATTCACCTAACCTCATACAATCCTTTTTTGTTGTTGTTGTTTTTTGTTTTGGTTTTTTTTTTTTCGAGACAGGGTTTCTCTGTGTAGCCCTGGCTGTCCTGGAACTCACTCTGTAGACCAGGCTAGCCTCGAACTCTCAAACTCAGAAATCCACCTGCCTCTGCCTCCCAAGTGCTGGGATTAAAGGCATGCGCCACCACCGCCCGGCTACAGTCTTTAAATAAAAGAGCAATCCTTGCAACACCTGCATGACACAAAAATCAAAGCACAGCCATTCTGAAAGGACAGCATGAACAGATATGTGTTCCTAAGACTCAATGCTCTTTGTGTTACACAGAAAGATCACTCCAACACGGGGGCAAACTGATGAGGAGGGGTTTAGAACATTAAAAATAGCATACATGAAACAACCTGTTATTTCCCAAAGTATGTTCCTTGAAACTAGTTTTCTATAGTCAAGTAAGTTTAGAAAACCTTTCTACACTAGAGGTTCCCACATGTG